ATCCAATATGTCGGAGGCGACATCTGAAATATGAGCAGACTCGCTCATACAATCTTGTCTATTTGGATCCGGGTTGTTATCAGAGGTAGAGAATAATAACTGAAAGCAAATGAGCCATTCGTCCATTTCTATGTTGCTGTTTTTCTTAGGATTTAGTGTTTTACTTTCATACCAGATTTTTTTGGGATCATTAATATAATTTTCTAGGTTTTTTTTCTTCTATTCCATAAATACCTTTCTCTTTTCCTTGCAATTTGTATAATATCTATTTCTAGCTTTGTGATAACTCTCCATGTATTGCAAGGTCCTAACTTTTTGGAAGAAGTTAGGAAATTTACACCTTTCTTTCTAAATGATCACATTCATCATCATACCAGATATTCGTGTTATGGTTTTCTGAATGGGGATCAGGTGAGGATCCTCCGTGTTGTATCCCTTGTTATGAAAGAATCACAGTCAAGCATTTCAATGTATTTCAATGTAAAAACTGTTAAGGATCTTTTTACTACTGTTAATTATGATTTAATCATGTTTATTTTAACGAAATATAATTACTGCATAAATTTTGATTTGTTTTGTAGATAGATACATATTTTATAATTAGTAGTTTAAATTATCATCGGGGATTATTCAGGTCTGTATCCACAAAGGGGGTTAAAGTACTGTAAAATAATTGTCCTCGTGAGGGAGTACATAAGTCCCAATACATTCATAGTAAATTTAAACCTACTACTATTTTAATCGTAGTAAATATGTTATTTTAATGTATGGCTAGATTTACCTAAATTGCTAACGGCTGAAGGGATGGTGTAAATCCAGCTAGGGTCCATGCAGGAAGCAAAAGTACTGTAAGTCCCCATGGTCCCTAGCATGGTGATCTACCTTCAGTTGTTAGCAATATATCGCCTGTTTTTATATTGTCCTGTCATCTATAGTTAAAAATGTTAGTGTTAATTACTAGTTTTAAATTGAAATCTGTGATAATCTAATTGTTTTACTGTCCTTCGTTGACAGTTGTTGATAATTTATTTTTAATCATTATAATCTATAACTTGTTTTAGTCACGATATGGCTGAAATATTGCCGATGTGAATCAAATTCTAAACTCATTCACTGAAAAGCGGCGTATCAGGGTTTTTTTCATATCCGAAGGAGCTAGACACAATGATTCTATGACATAAACTATACATTGACTTATATCAGTGAATGCTACATCAAGAGATTTATCATGTAAGTCTTGTATATCATCCGTAAAATATTCCTGAATTGCGACAGCATCTTGCTATTCCACACTAATGTGTATGCTTCATGATCAGATTTAGATTCACCACTCATAATCTTTGGCTGTACTGGTGGGTGATGCGCACGTAAATCTAGGGTTAACGAGAGGTGAGCAGACTCTGCTTTAGTAGGTATAGCAAAATCTAATACTTTGTCAAATAGATGTGCAGAAGCTAAGACATAATCTATGACGCTTGTGCCATTTGTACCTATAAATGTAAAACCACCTAGTCTAAAATCTTTACCACATCTGCCACTCATAATGTGTATATTTAAAATGTTAAATAAATCTAGGAGACATCTAAGACGGTCTATAATCACATGAATTTATTTTATTTTTTTCATTCTTGCATTAAAGTTTCCAGAGATATATAAATATATATATTTTTTTATAAATATTCTGGAGAGTTGCACACCATTTTTTCAAATATGAATCCAGCAATAGTAAATCCATCTGCATTTGTTTTGTCATAAGGGTCTGGAGAGCATTCACGTGAACAAAATTTATATGATGAAATAATGCAACAAGGAAGGTTCTGAGGTGCGGAACTATACCGGTGTGAAATTCTTCATAGACATGAACAAGAATATTATAATCTATCAAACGTTTCTGATAGAAACTGTAGTGCCACCACTATAGCATCTATGTTTCCTCCTCCCAGAACACAGCTGGTCCCGGTTGTTCAATACTCGGTTATCTTAACCGCCGGTTAACTCATAACGGCCGGTTAAATCCATAATAAATGTTTCCTGTTTTGCATTCCACCCTGAAGAATTTATTGTTTTGTTACAATTGGTATATGTATCCTCTGTTTCCACACCAATAGGTTATAGACTGAGGTAATGTATTATATCCATACAAATATGAAAGTATTTAACGATGAACGTTTTTCAGATCATGTTGATCAAGTTGACGATAACGGTATCCAGTAAAACCAGCATGTGAATATTTCAGTTCTTTATTTCAGGACGGGGTGAGGTAAAACTATACCATGCACAAGGATGAATGGTGCCGATCATGGTGAGTTTTTATGGTACCTAGAAAGAGAAACATAGAAATGTATTCACATATTTTTTTGGTTTCCTCCTTGCTTGTTGCTAGTGAATGAGTTAATATTTAACGTCACCTCGGCAATATCTCAGCCATATCGGGACGAAAACAATTTATGCAGTATAAAGTGAGAACATTTTTAAGATTAAATCCTGTCGACGATTGACAATAAAATACTAGAGAATCACAAATATGAAGATAAAACTAGCGAGCAAAGCTGAAACATTACAATTAAAGAAGACAATACAGTATAAAATACGGGCTGTAGATCGCCAACAATTGAAGGTATATCACCATACTAGGATCCATGGGGACTTACATTACTTTTGCTGCCTGCATGGACCCCAGCTGGATTTACACCATCCCTTCAGCCACCAGCAATTGTAGGAAATTAAGCCATTAGTTAAAAGAACAAAAATACTACGATTAAAATGTGGTAAAGTTGCATTTTACTTTGAAAGTTTTGGGACTTACGTACCCTCTCTGGAGGATAATAATTTTAAAGTACTTTAACCCCCTTTGAGGGTGCTTGTTGGTAAACAAGCACAACTAAATATGTGTTCTTCCCGTCCATCAGACTGATGACCCAGTGTATTGTTACTTTGAATCAACCTTACCAAGATTTTAAGCGTAGAATGTTTGTGATTTGAATTATGGCTAAATTTGACTAAAATCGCCAGCGGCTGAAGGGATGATGTAAATCCAACTAGGGTCCATGTAGGTAGCAAAGGTACTGTAAGTCCCCATGGTCCTTAGTATGGTGATCTACCTTCAGTTGTTGGTGATCTATAGCCCTTGTTATATTGTACTGTTGTGTCTGGTGATATATTTTTATGATAGCGTACTAGTTTTAAATTAAGAGCTGTGATATTCTAGTAGTTTTATTGTTCTTCGATGACAGGTTTTTACGTTATATAATTATTGATTTGAATATTGATATAATATGTTCTCGTCACGACATGGCTGCAATATTGCCGATGTGACGTTAAATTTTAAGTCACTCACTACTTGGAATCAATAATAATTAATGGATGCTTCTAATTTCAATTCCGTTTCCCCCTTGATAGGACCGATCTTACGATTTACCAATCTTCCCGATCTTTTTAACTGTTTGTGTGTATCATGTTTTTTTGAAATATCAGACTTTATCAAATCCAATGACTCACTCACTCTTACAACTGAGACACAACTAAAGAGCTCAGTCGTAATGGCGATGTTGAAGATACATCCCTTGCTTGTTCACAGATGGCCTGTACAACATTCAGAGTGACACAAAAAACTTGCCAGGTAAGAACCTCTATAGATGCAGGTGCTATGAACTGTTTTAGCTTTGGCTGTTTTTTCTGTTGTCTCTCGTATGGTGTATACTGGAACTAACTTACTGATGGATAACATTGTTCAGGCAACATTGTATTCTTTTGCCTAAATTCTTTTCCGCCCCAAAGCTGTATTTGGCTGATGCTCAAAGATTACAGAATTTCAATATCAAAACGGCTCGAATATTGTCAATAATCTGTTGCAGATAAATGCTCAGCGTGTAAGTCACTAAGAGACAGATACAAGGAATACAAGAAGGGTCCTCGAGATCCAGCAATACAACTACATGCAGAATACAACACCACCAGGGGAAAGAAAAGCAAAGAGAAGTCATCAGTCTTGGAGAAAGTAGCAAAAGCAGTGTCAGCGTTACGTAACAGTGGTGGGGGAGTGTTGTTAGTTCACCTGGAGGGGACATCACCAGAAGATAAGTGTCTCGAGTTCTTTGATGAATTTGTAGTGAAAACTCTCACAAACTTATTGGAAGCTGACGAACTATATACTGACTCATATGAAAGATATTTTCTAAGTGATCAACTGAAATTCACGGACGCGTGTGACTTTGTTGTAGTTAAAGTTAACAAAACAGCCGGTCTAGCTACGGTTGATTTCAACACGAAGGCAAACAATGACAATGAGAACCTGGATATAAATTCATTGATCCTCTCAGAAGTATTGGGTAAAAAGGAAACAACGGAAAAGAACCAAGCGTCTCTCAGGAATCTGCCCCCAAATGTGAACACTTTTCATGAGAATCGGCACATACAGTTGAAAGCATTCAAAGACAACACTGAAGAGATTAAGCGAAAACAAACCGACGCTGGAAAACTGACTGACCATATCTGGCACAATCTTAAACTGAAAGATAACATAACATCTATGTCAAAGCTGGTTCAAGGCGGGTCATACTACCTGGGAGTTAACGAAAAGAACGTTGTCACACAGAGAGGTTATCAAACAAAAGTTGCAGAAGTTGTTGGTTTCAAACTATACGTGAGTCAGACATCTTTGAAAGAGAGTATCTACAAGAAGGTTGAGACTGATCTGTGTGTTCTGACAAGGAAGGGAGAGTTCACAGACGCTCCTAGGGACCTGATAAACATAGCATTCCACCCTATCCAACAATCCGAGCTTTATGTTTTGGAAGTAGCCATTCGATATTGCGATGGCGTTGTTTTCTACGATAGGCAAGGGCCAAGGTCATACATACTCGATGAAAAAGACCGAATTGTTCGAAGAATGAGCAAATTTGAGTGGCTACAGAAATTCTTTGACACTCGTACATTGAATGCAACATCTCTTTATGTTCAGTAACCAACAAACAGTTCCCTTGCGCTGTTTTGCAGAGTAACTCTTCTGAACAAGACATCCGATAGATAAGTGGACCAGTCTCATCTGCTTTATGTTTCAATCTATGCACGGAGGTTCTTGGTGACGACAAATTCTCTGAATACCTGTGTGACAAGAGGGACGACTTCAAATAGTTAACTTTCCTGTGGCGGCTTGGACAGGATACTCTCTGCCTATCGGTGGCTATATCTTCCAAATATTCATTGACACATACTCGTACGATAGCCGGAGTCGTGCAATCTTATGCTGCTTGAATACATATTGTGACATCTTCGTGGTATAATATGGTAACCTCTATCCTGTTGAAACACATTACAGTGGATATATCAATCCATACTTATAACCGTTCCCAAGCAGTATCGCCAGCTCACTTCGGCAGCAACGTCTGCTATACTCAAGCAGCACAACCAGCTGTATTCAAGTAGCATCACCAGCTATACTCCATACATCATGAGCAGCACCATGTGCAACGGTCCTGACTCCACAGACAGCAGCAACATGTCCGATAGCAGTACTGACACCTCAGTTGGGTCCAGTCCATACCAGTCTGACGAGGAAGTCATGACGTACTTTATTATTGGAGAAGCTGGGGATACAGGTAGGAACAGCTACTGTGTTATTCTATGTTAAATCAGTACAATAGTATAAACGCGTTCTTTTGAAACCTGAACGTGTTGATACTTACACTGCGATACAAAAAGGTTTGTCAATTCCTGCTTGATCACAACAGATGAAACATTCCGATTGAAAGAATAATAGCCTTATGGTTGTATAATGGTATATTTTCATTATTTCTGATACATAAAATAAGATTATTGAAAAACATTATCATGAAATTTTAACTTGTTTAAGTCACGACGTGACTTAAATACTGCCGATGTGACTAAAAGGCTTATTTCAATTTAAGTCACAATGGTGTTTCTCCGAAATGTATGTGATCCATTCATTGACAGTGTTTATCAGAGTTCTTAAATTTAAGATTAGGGTCCGTCAAGGGTGAGTTCTGATCCCGTTTTGGTTTTGGTATAGGGCAATAACAATGCCTTTAAACTTCACCCAGATATTGTGTCGTCTGCTGTTCGCCGTTTTGTACTTCAGATGCGATTAATATCAATGTCTTAACGCTTGCTTCTCGATTTGTGTTTATGGATGACAACGCTAAACCTCATCGCCCTCGAGCTGCGACTGCATTTCTGGAGGACACGCTATTAAAATATTAGAATCAATTGTTTGGGACATTCCTAGACGTCGTATGCAGGTGCTACAACTGATCCACCATAGAGAATGTAGCACCCTCAGAGGGAGTGGCACCAGTACCTCTTGATTGCTTACCAGGGAAAAAGGAGGATGGTTGCCGCTGTCATCCAGTCACAAGGCGGCTACCTTTTGCTCCTGAATTTCAGGATTAGGATTACCTTTAAAATATGAAAAAGATCAGTTTTGGACAGCAATGGCTTTTCGAACCTAACCTCTCAGATCCGTAGTTTTCGGGGCTACCAACTGTGCTTAATTACTGTACTTGAGGAACAGAGTTTTTAAGCAATTAAGATATTGAATGTTGGCATCGTTTTCGATGTTTTGAAGAGCCTTATTTTCCATTCAACATTTAGTTCTCCACCATTTCTTTTTTCAACATAATGGTAACATGAGAGATTTGCCTCGGACTGACCTTCCACGCGTGACATCACGTCTGCAATCACTTTCGGCTGACCCATCTAAGGAATCAATTCCACACTGCCAGTCTGACTGCTCGAACCATTGCCGGCTTACTAGCAATCAGTTTCAGGACTGTACAGATTCGACTGAGGCAGCACAACATCCGTCTCCGACCTCCAGCCACATGTCCTCTTTTGCTCCAACGCCTCCTGGTGCAGACACCATCTATGGCACAGGATACAAGATTAGATTGGGATGGTATTTTGTTCACTTATGAGTCGAGATTTCATCTCGACAGCTCAGATGGCAGGGCAAGGATGTGCAGACGGTGAGGTAAACGATATGCTGACGCGTGCATTGCTCAACGTCCACATGTTGGTAGTGGTAGGGTTATGGTATGGGGCGCCATCACATTTCATGGTGAGACACAACTTGTCATTGTCCATGGCAATCTGACAGGTCTGCAATACAGGGGTGAGATCATTGGGCCTCATGTACAACTGTTCATTCAAGGACAGAGACGTAACTTCAGCAAGATAATACACGTCCACATCTCGCTCGTGTTGTGAAATATTTCCTGAGACAGAACATTCCGGTACTTCCCCGGCCGGCTCTTTCTCCGGACCTGTCCGCTCTCGAGCACGATTGGGATGAAATGGAGCAACGTTTACGTCAAGCCCAGAATCAATCATTGAAGCTGAAGTATGTAGACTTGACACTACAGTGGATACAGTTGAGGACAGTGTGAGTAGTTGTGATAAACTGTTAGAGGAGACTACAACTGCTTTCAGACAGGAGCTAGACACGCATTTACAGAGATGCAGAAAGTTGGAAAAGTAGTGTGCAGAAGGTGCACACGGTGACATTACCCACAATATTGTGCTACATAATGTACCAGAATCAAATAATGAAAATGTTTTAATAAAGGTTAATGGTTTGCTAAATGAAGTTAAGAGAGATTCGTTTTAAACGTGCAAAAAGGAAAGTGTCCAGAAATAGCAGGTACCCCGGTGTCATCGTCACGAAGTCTAGTTCTATCGACGACAAGAATATGATTCTGTCTGAGAAATAAAAGCTGAATGAATCAAGAAACTTCAGAAATGTGTACATTGCAGCCGATAAAAGTCAACAGCAACGGTCCTTGAAATCCAACTTTAAAATGCTGGCGGATGCTATCGTAAAGGAAGACTTGAAGTTTACTGGAGGACGTGTACTACGACAACGAAATGACCGACGCCAGGATGGAAGGAACGAAAGAAGTGACTCAGCCACAGCAAGTGGATTGGACTCTCAACACACAACACGTGCCAACAACTATCAACAAACAACACGTGACAACGGGCGAGCCAATCATCCGACCAGGAGCAAGGAGCGGGAACAAGGAAGAGAGCACGTGACTGGAAGAGACAGGGCTAGTTATTCAAATTAGTAAAGTCCGGGCTTTGGTATTGCAATGGTTGGGCTAGTGACAGTAATGCAAATGATCATCTGTTAAGATCAACTTGTGTTTCTCATTTAGATTGTGACATTGTTGGCGTAGTTGAAACTCATCTGAAATTTAATCAATCTATATTTGTGGAAGACTATTCGTGGTTTGGACACAGTAAAAACTATCTCCATTGGCAAGCCAAGGGAGGCTCTGGAGGCGTGGGCTTCATAATAAAAAATGACTTATTGGTTAAATATAATGTGACTATTCTTGATGTTGTGAATGAAGGCATTTTGTAGTTCAAATTAGAACACAATAGTACATGCTTATTTTGCATATGTGCATGTTCTTTGCATTCAGAATGTTCTACCTGAAACATCGATGCAGCTGACTTTTATGACAAATTCTTGATTCAGATATCTGAGTACCATGTGTATAATATTGGTTATAATTGTGGTAATCTAAACGGTAGCTGAACTCTTGAGAAACACAGATTTCTGAATGATAAATGGTAGAAATAATGTACAAAATGACTTTACTTGTATTTCAGGCAAAGGGGCCTCTGTGGTTGATTATTGTTTATGTGCATATGAAGAATTTAATCGTATTTCTAATTTTAATATTACACGTCTGTGATTTAGTTCAATATTACTAAATTCGACCACTCCGTAATATCACGGACTTTGGAAATTCTCCCGGAACGTCATATTAGCAATTCTGTGACTGTGATCAATCAAGTGTGAAACATGATGTTACGTGTGTGCCCGAAACCATATCCAAGTAGGAATGCTCACTCTGTGAACAGTGAGATGTGGATGTAGCCTACACTAATTTCCTGTCTACCGTTAAGCAATATACATACAAGAAACAAGTGAGATGTGGATGTAGCCTACACTAATTTCCTGTCTACCGTTAAGCAATATACATACAAGAAACAAGTGACATGTGGATGTAGCCTACACTAATTTCCTGTCTACCGTTAAGCAATATACATACAAGAAACAAGTGAGATGTGGATGTAGCCTACACTAATTTCCTGTCTACCGTTAAGCAATATACATACAAGAAACAAGTGAGATGTGGATGTAGCCTACACTAATTTCCTGTCTACCGTTAAGCAATATACATACAAGAAACAAGTGAGATGTGGATGTAGCCAACGCTAATTTCCTGTCTACCGTTAAGCAATATACATACAAGAAACAAATCAGATGTGGATGTAGCCTACACTAATTTCCTGTCTACCGTTAAGCAATATACATACAAGAAACAAGTCAGATGTGGATGTAGCCTACACTAATTTCCTGTCTACCGTTAAGCAATATACATACAAGAAACAAGTGAGATGTGGATGTAGCCTACACTAATTTCCTGTCTACCGTTAAGCAATATACATACAAGAAACTTTTTCACACTATGGTCTGGTCTACTGTTGACTACGGAGCAGCGATTTAGGGGAGCTCAAACGCTACGTTTGTCACGACTCAACAGAACAGAGCTATGAAATTCTTTATGGGTGTTCGGAAATCTGCCCCCAACGAGGCGGTGGAAGGAAACATGGGTTAGACCCCGACACAAGTGAAACTCCGGCGGACTGTGATGAAAACGTACACCAGACAGCCTAAACCCCGAAAGAATTCGAAGTAGTTAAAAATGGATTACGTGTGAAGGAAATTATACACAAGGTTCAGAGTGCAGTACGACAGATATGTTATGAGAACTGAAAGAAGATAGATTGCCCGACTAGTCGAGATGGCAAGTGAAGTAATATACGTCGACACTAAAGAACCTTTAAGACGAACTATGAAGTGGAACACTACATTACTGAAAACATCCCACGAGGCCACAGATAAGCGATAGCCATGTATAGATGCGGTGTTGCCCCCTTGTTAATAGAAACTGGTCACTACAGTAGTATGCCTTTAAATGAGAGAGTGTGTTTTAACTGTTTAAATGTTGTTGAAGATGAAAATGCATGTACTTTAGTACTGTCCTTTATATCAGTCTTTTACAAAACGTCTGTTGGCTGAGTGCATAGTTTTAAATGGTAATTTTATGAAGTTTACAGATGTGGAAAAGTTATCGTTTTAAATGTCTAGTCCTATTTAATGTAAATTAACAGCCAAGACCCGCTTTGTTATTTTATAGGAACGGCGCGTTTACTATTTGTAAATAGTCTCTCATAATCACATAAGGGATGGTGCATTATATGCATTTTACTTTTTTACGATGTTTTGAATGTATAATGTATGAGGTGAGACTCGTAATAAACAATCTGTCTGCCTGTCTGTCTGTCTGCGTCGTTGCCAAGCCTCCATCAACACCAATGACTTTTGACACAACATCTCTTCAAGGATGTATCACGATGCCTAGTGACAAATCATACAGATCTGGATATCATATTGTCAATAGTTAAATAGTAATTAAGAAAAACACTGCCAATCATGTTATTGGTTTTTTTTAAAATAATGCACAGTTAGTATATTCCAGTAGTGTATCATACGATGAACATATGAATGTCCGTTTTGCAGTGATTTTGAAAGAGAGGGATGTATGCCAACATTTTAATTTTGACTTTCCTATATCTATTTATACTTATATATTATAGTGTATGTAGAATCAGTCGACCGCAAAACTAAAGTAATAATTTCATCTGGCTGCAATTCCCAACCCTTATGTTTCACAAAGGACTGTGAACATGACGTTTTATTCTACATTCAAAAATTTTGCATTGCTAACGGCAGTTCTAAAACTCTGATAATCGGAGAGGTACGAATCGAAATGTATTATGTTTCTACACGTACAGAATGGTTATCCCGAGTATATCATATGCGCTTTATGTATGGCACCAGAGCGTGTCCTTAGGTTGCTAGTGTCATGTTTTACATATACCTGGTGAGACGTGTCGTGGGAAAGAAAACGTCAGCATTTGAAATACACTTGAAAATGTTTTGATATGAGAGGCGTAATAAGTGACGCTCATTCACTTGTAATAATATACGTGTGAAATGTTAGCGGAGTTTGAACGGGAAAGGGTCCGGAGGGAGGAATACTGCAGTGTACCATATAGGTATCGTCGTGTAGAATGTTGTGGCAGTATGAACGGGATGAGGATGCAAGTGAGACTCACTGGGAAACTGGAACTACACACGAGTTTACTGTTGCATTGCAGATGACGCTGCTTGTCGTACACCCATACAGCATGTTGGGAATAAAGTGGAACAACAGACCTCAGGGGCTGCACAGACCATGGCTGAAGCAGAGCATGGTAAGTTGCAAATTGATTGATTGTCGTTGTCACACGGATTTTAAGTTAATAATGGTCCCATGGTCGTGTTGCTATAGTAGTTCGTAAATGTTTATACTTTCTGACTGTAGCCAGCATTATCGCTGTGCAGGTAACAGTGAAGTCTTGAATATTATTTCATTGCTCAGTTTGACATTGCCCTGACTGATGAATGCCAGTATCTTAAATCGGTGATTAGCCAGCTACATGGGAATACCCTATCAGGTATTGACAAGGCAGATGCTATACGGAATCCGAAGGTACATTAGTTTCTTATATGTCCGTGGAAAACGTTACAAACTCTACTTTAAAAATATAATAACAGAATCACTGTGTACAACAGTGTATAAAGTACTGTTCCAGTCGGTTGCAAAAGGAACAACTAAAAGTATGTACTTGCAAAACATTTTTAGAGATTTAGATGTCTGTCATATCATGTTTGGGAGTGTCCAACAATATCTGGCATGTCCGCCATGTTTATGCGAAACATACACCACACCTTGACACACTTGCCCTGCAGATCTGAAGTTAGTCCATTAGCTGGATCTCTGGCGTAATCACAATCTATCAGGTGTTGACAAGGTAGATATATGCTATACTGCATGCAAAGGTAAATTAATAACCTGTATGTCCGACATGAAAGAATAAAAATAACAGAATCACTGCCAATGATGTAGTGAAGCTAAATGTCTGTTATATCACTTTTGGGAGAGTCCAACAATATCCTAGTATGTCCACCACATTTATGCGAAACATACAACCTGGACCAGCTGCTTCTGGGTCTCTGGCGTAGTCTCAATGTTCGTTTGCTTTCCCTGCCCAAGAGCCTGGTCACACTACCGCCCGCTGACCGATCGTGGTCAGGAATCGTTGCCTTGGCGGTTACCGAAGTCGTTCGTCGTTATCCACTATGTTAACTTACACAGGTGTTCACACAGTTATACAGTTCTGCCGAAGTCAAAGATTACCAAAAACAAACACTATCCTTCAATCTCACATTTTTCCATTTCAAATATACTACTGGAATAAACTAAATGTGCATTATTTAATATTATGTTATATTTTAATGCAAAAAGGTAGTAACATGATTTGTGGTGTTTTATTGAATCACTGTTTAACTGTTGACAGAGGAAATATCGAAATCTGTATGATTTGACACTAAGCATCGTGACACGCCCTTGAAGAGATGTGGTGTCAAAACTCAGTCCACAACTTCAATGGCTGATTCTGGGCTTGACGTAAACGTCGCTCCATTTCATCCCAAGCGCGTTCGATAGGAAACAGGACAGGAACAACAGCTGGCCAGTTGAGTACCGGAATGTTCTTCTGCCTCAGGAAATCTTTCACAACACGAGCGAGCGTGAAGTACGTCTCTGTCCTAGAATGAACAGCTGCATATATGTGGCTCAATGATCTCAGTGTATCGCAGACCTGTCAGATTGCAACTGACAATGACAAGTCGTGTCCGACCATGAGATGTTATCAATAGAGAGCATACCGTTCACCTCACCGCCTGTAACCCTTGCCTTTGAGCTGTCCAGATGAAATTTCCACTCATAAGTGAACAAAACACAAATCCAGTCTTGTCTCCTGGACCGTAGATGCTGTCTGCACAGGCAAGACGTGCTTGTCAGTGACGTTGGAGCCAACGTGACGTTGTGACCGGATGTTGTGCTTCCTTAGTCGGTTCCGTACCCACGTCCTGGACCTGATTGTACGTAAGCCAGGAATGGTCCGGGCAGTCAAACTGGCAGTCTGGAATCGATTCCTTAGATGGGTCAGCCGAATGTGGTTGCTTTGCTGACGTGACGTCACGCGTGTACGGCCGGTCCGAGGCAAATCTCTCGTGTTCCCATTATGTTGTAAACGTCGCCATTGAGATGAGATCGTGTTTCGATGGCATCAAATTGCCTGGCCACTTCATTTGGGGCCAATCCAATCTCCAGCATACCCACCGCACGTAGACGCTATTTTTCTGTAAACCACATGACGTACGCGCAGTTTAGTCTGAGCTTAACGTGTTTTCCACGACATTTAGAGGCTTGAGAATTATCAACCGTTCTTCAATTTTCAATATCAGGTGTGTAACTTCAGGTGTCCAAAAGCATGCAAAACGTAAGTTCATTGTGCACAAAGTCCACGTGCCACGCGCGATACTTGACATCAAATTACATGCAAAATGCTTTGCTACATGTTTATTAAGGGTTATGTTTATAATTTTTCAACTAACGTTTATTTTGTGCAATTTTATATCATGCATAACAATTGCTTTTTCCGTTAGTATGTATCATCTGAACAAATCAAAACAAGGTTGGGAATATTTCCATAAAATACTGATTACAAATTAAGCGAGAGAAATCACTATTTTGTTCAATACGACTCTTGACATACTATGAAAGAACATGATAGAAAGAGTACCAATCATATCCCATTTAGTTGCACGTACGTGACTAAACTATAATGCTTCAAGTATCAAATCATCTCGTATCATACCTTGCCAATGATGACCATCTTTTCAATAAAATAGCATAGGTAGACAGTACTACGTACTGATCTACAGAAATATAAGATATGATTGTATTATCATTCAATGGATAGCGTTCTCGGCAGGATAAAGCCATCGGATATTTTCGGTATCCGTTAGGGCCATTCGTGACCAACTCGTGTTATTCCGGGACAAGCCGAAAAGCGACTCGTGCCCTTCTGGAAGGTTTTCATATTGGCGCATGAACAACAGAACTACTTTAAACAAGAACGATAACTCTATTCCTGTTTTATGCAAGTGGTACTTAATATCACCGAAGCACTCGTACATTGTATTGCTGTTTTGGTTTTTACCTATTCATTGTAAGGAATTAAAAGTCTTTGATACAACTAAAAGAAGGAGAAAAGACATATTTGTTAAAGGCATATTCTAACGTAATTATCACCAGCTGTTCACAAATGGGATTTGTTTTACTGAATGTGCAAATAAGAGTTTTTAAAAACTCGGCTAAATTAAATCCCAAAGCAGATACTAAAAAAATGACTTTGATATATTTCTCATACTGAATATTCGTGTAACCTTGCTGTCATACCCCAAGTGGAATTTTAAATGAATTCGCTGAAAATATATGAATGACCAAAACAAGTCAGACTAACATATTCCCAGAGATGTAAAATATATGCCCAATGTTAGACATTAAAGTTGATTAGTTACATACAGATATAATATACTGAACAGCAAAAGCAATGCAAGTCTGGCTTTTTGTCAAGTTTGTTAATAGAAGACAACCAAAATCATATCTAATCATTTATTCTATAGAAAACACTGCCAATTTAACAGTTGAAAGTTGCTGTTGACATTGCAATAAGTTTAAATTGATCACAGTCCGTCAAAAGGAGATACCCCTGAACGCGAAAAGTGACAGTCTCTTTAGTAGCGCGTATAGACACATTGTGCTTGCACACAGGCCGTGCAACGTGGCCTCATTGAGTTCACTAGAGTCTGAAATACTTCCTGAGGCAACTGGTTCCGCTCAAACATCAATCTGTATTCCAACTGTGCAAGTGTCCAATTTCGTCCCAGAATGTTCAAAGGGAGCCATATCCGGGAAAGAGGCGGCCATGGAAAAAAGTTAACTTGTTCTGAACCAGATGATCCATCAACACCCTTGCTGTGTGTGGGCTGCTGGCGCTGTTGACGTGTCAAAACTGGCCCCTTATATGGTCTTAGGCAGTGGATTCGCGACGCCTAATCATATCACTGGACACTGCTCCACTTGACCCAAGAACTAAGGCTGCTGTTGCTGTTTCTGCTTAAGTTCGGTTCTTTAGATGAGTGACCCGGATGAACCGATCTTGCGTATGAGTTGTCACTCGTTGCCGTCCAGTAAGGGGACAATCAGCAGCAACCCCGGTTTGCTGATGACGTCGAGCAAATCGTTTCATGTGGTAAGATGACAGCCCAATTGCCTAGCTACAGTAGCTGCAGAGCTATCTCCGTGCAACTTTCCAATGGCCACTCCCCTCAGTCGTCAGTCACTGCTCAGTCGTCAGTCTAGGCATCGTTTGGGTGGCGTGTACACATCCTAGCGTTCAACACTGAACTGTTTTTTGACACAAACCTTTATAAAGAATATCTCAGAGTGAAATGCATGCTTTCCATCTGAACCGTCGACGCACGTGCTAAAATTATGGTTTTGCTGCACTGTTGGTGTGTTTTTGCGAATGGTTCGTATGGACGTCAAATTGCATGACATCATCTCATCTGGGATCATTACGTCACTTTACCATGAACGTTCCATAAACGTGAACGCTTACCATCATGCATATGAAATTTCATTTTTTCGAAACTTGCGTCTCTTTTGCTGTTCAGTATATAATTGTTTTGAAACTCGTAGCGATTTATGATTACATTTCCCAAAACTGTTGGAAGCGCACGTACAATCGCCAAAATAAGCCCGCAAGATCGTCAGAAATACACTCAATTGGACCCATGAGAGCCGTTATGTAAACAAACGCACGTGCGTGGATTTGAATCTCTCACCTTCCATGGCAATATCTTTACTAAAATCTACACATGAGCCAAAACAATTATATGTTACCTACATTCCTTGTACTTTCAATATGATGATACATATTTTCAAGATTTTTAAAACAATGACATAATGCCATAAACGATTTATGCATTCGGGATTATATTTATCAAAGCACCGCCTTCATTACGCGTTTTCTGATTGGTTTGTCGTATTTTCGCACATAACAAGCATCGAGTCGGGGACGAGTCTTCTTGGAGTTTATGGAAAGGGGCGAGTGGTGACGAATGCGTTAAGGCATGTACGGATATCGATGCAAATTAGAGAGGTCATATGCAAACTTTAGGGACTACTTTCTCAGTGTCAACAAACGTGGCGTCACGCCCATAAAGCGGCGAATGTGTCCGGATTGACGGCCGAGGTTACGGCGCTGTCATGCTTTGATCCAAGAAAATTCATGTCTGGTAATGATAGATGGAGTGGATGAAGAAGCGAAGATAGAAATTCATAGGCATATGAAGACACCAACACCTCTTCCCTGGTCGACTGTCAGTGTTAGCGAGCAGAACATGTCACGCGAACATTAAAGTGTGTTTGTTGTTCAAAAGGTCCGTTGAAGGTTTCTCTAAAGTTTATTGTTATTTTTCAAACGTAAAATTTGTTGGCAACAATACGACCTTTAACATAAAACGTACTAGGAACTAGATTACCTGTCGCAATCAATTGAGTGATCTGTTGAAAATTGTGTTAGCGAGCTTGTGAAAAATTGTTTTACCGAGCCGAGGATCGCCATATACAATGTATTTTTCCAAATGCAGGATATTAACCATCCCAAAACACACTCGCGTGGTATCCTATTTATATTTAGGGATTGCAGAAAGGTAAGCTCCACATGGCGAGACATGGGAAGTCGGATATCGTAAAAATGCCAAGCCCGGTACCAATATCCAAAGAAAAGATTTTGTTTGGTTATTTAACAAAACATAACAATCCTTTACAAGTTAACAAAGTATACTCCTTGCAAAAATTATGCAACAAGTATTTTCATCAATAGCAATCTCGATAGCGATTTTGGCAACATGTTATTGAAAGGTAAATATTCAAAGAATACTTAACCTTTGACTGTCAAATTGATTTATCTGATAACATTGACATCACCCGAACACAACCATCCTCAGAAACAACATGCAAAATGTGTGGCATGAATGTGCTCCACTCTTCACACATGCACCCTGGTCGGTGTAAACCTACCTGTAAACATTCCTCTGGCACAACAAGCAGGTCCTAACGTCATTTTTATGGATGATACTGCCCGAGAAAGAGGCGTTAACGATGTTGTTTAGATCAACAACATCTCGCATATGGACTGGCCTGCAAGTTCAATTGATTTTAATCCCATTGAATATGCTTGGGACATTATTGGAAGTCGTGATTTCGGTCTCCATGTTAACCCCAGACTCTGGATCACCTTGAGCAGGCGTTACAGAGAGAATGGCAGAACATTCCACCACAGCTACTTTAAAGGCTCATTTGGTCAATGTAAAGACGTGTAGAAGCTTGTATTTTTGCTCATGGTGGTCATACGCGTTACTGAACACTGCTTCACTGTCCAAAACTGACCTGAACCTTAATGTTCAAATTTTGCTCCATCAATGCAGCACATTTTGCACGACTGTTTCGCGGGTACATGCTTTTGGTGATTTGTAAGTCTATTATTGCTCAATACCATTTCATTTCATTTTGTTAATCGTTTGTATATATGTTTCACCTTTCTATTGCATCATTCCATGATTTGCAATTTCAATGAATGAAAATGTAACGAGACTACAAATTCGTTTTGCTTAACATTTTAAGAGGAGTATATAACTGAAATAGAGATTACTTTTATAAGCTTTGGTCAAACTGTCATGTTTTATTTTTGGCTATATTGTTATGCAAAACCCTATAATTACTTAATAAATAAATACAGCATAAAAATTATAAAAAGCAATTTCTGTCATCTATCAATCAGAAGCAAAACAATGTGTAACACGACAGCTGCATAGAGTCAGTTATAGCGGTATCCGCGTTCCTGTAATTGTTTTGATTTCTCTGTTGATAACGGATGGAAAATTGAATACAAAACATAGTACAGTTACTAACTGTATTGAAACGAAGTGGTCTAGGTATCGTTTTTCAGTCCTACCAAAGCCAAGCCTCTTTGTAACCCCACCCATGTGATGGTACTTGTCCAACTGTCCAGACTTCCTCCCTCTCGCTTTTGTATGTTTAATAAGACACTGTCTCGGGGGCATTGTTTGGCGACTGCTCATCCCAACTGTATTAGTGATTGTGAGTTTCCGTATAGATGCACAATGTTTGGCTTCCATGTTTTACAAATAAAGATAGTTTAAATATTACATCGGCATCATTCGGCATCATTCGGTGGCAAAATAGAAATTAATTGTTGCTTTACGAAAATCATTTAGAAATAAATATAAGATTGATTAAACCATACAACACCATATCCCTGTGAGAATAATAGCGCCATTATGTCCATGTAACCTTACCGATACTATCTCGATGAAAGAGCATGTTATAAGCTATTTTCGGAAGCTGATGTTCTGACATACGGATGATATTAAACCAATATTGTAAACACTTCATTTGCGAATTAATGTAAAATGGGTATCTTCCGCATTCTCCATATATCATATTAATTTGGAGCTACTAATCCAACACAAAGAAACTTTTACATGCAAGTAGGTGAATTCTTTTTAAACAATCAAATCTTTGGTAACCACACACTTCGGATCAATACAACAGGATTGACTGTAATTGGGCATCAAATAATTTGAAAAATACATTAGATGTGCTAACTGAAGATTTACGTGAAACCGACATCATATTAAGTAAAGCTCGTTTCCCTCGCAGTGATAAATCAGAAACACATTTGTCCATATTTAGTGTTGAATTAAACAGTATACCAAGATACTTATAGCCATTAGCTACATTAATTGGTTGTCCATTTAAGTACAATATTTCCTTTAAAGGACCCTTTCTGAATGCTATAATTTCTGTCTTATCTAAAGTTACATATAAATTCCATTTCTTAGTATATTTATCTAATAAATTCAACTGATTCTGTAGACCAATAACTGTGTGAGATAGTAAAATAACATCATCGGCAATAAGGGGGCATAAGGATTTCTAGGATGTCAGGATACATCTGTAAACCATGCTTACCGTTACTTGAAATTTCATAATCCAAATCGCTGATGAAAAACAGAAAAATCAAAGGACTCAATATACATACCTGATGTAAGCCAGACAGGCAACGAAAAATCAGTAACACCATAATCACTACGTACACATGATTTTATGTTTGAATACATTGATTTGGGGATATTATACATCTTCCCTTGTAGCCCAGCTTTTCTCAAACAACACCATAACTTATAACGATCAACTGTATCAAATGCTTTTAAAATCAATAAAAGCAACAACGTATAATTTGTATTAACGACGTGATAAACATTTTTTAACTACATGTATTAACAAAATGGTCATGATTAGAAAAATGCTCAGTTTGTAAGATTAGTTAAATTTTTAGTAAAAAGTGGAGATACATTGGTATGGTATTATTTGAATGTTCTTTACATTTTACAGAACATGTAAATAATAAAATATGCTTGGTGCAAAAGGTGTAGTGTATTATGTAAAATTACGAGAAATGGGTGCTAAAAATGTTAACAAATTATGCTTCTTTGGCCAAGTATCCACTTCTGAATACCAGCCTAATCATTGAGTGCTAGTAACCACTTCTAAATCCCAGCCTATTCTCAAAGTCAACAATCGGATCCAAAGTCAAGGTAAGAACCTGTTCTAAGTCATGTATATGTACGTTAGAATCTACTTTTTAACAGTGATAGCAGGTGCCAGTACCACTCAACACGTGTGTACGACAAGATAACATTTTAACTGTTACACTTACAAATTCCACTCACATATTTATTTAGCTGTATGGGCCAATTCTCTAGTGATACTGTGCGGTTGGACAGCCTAGTGCACACGAAATTGTGCAGAACTATGGATTGAGAAATAATCAAATACTTACATTGTCGTATTAGACTGGGATGCAAATACTTACATTTGCAACTTGGACACTGCATTATCTAATCTTGAAGGACTGTTGTAATATGTATTAGTTTGGGGAGAGACATTAATATAGGGAAAACACTGTTTGTCAATCCCACTGTACACTACTAGTGGTACAAGAATAAATATTGTTTAAACTATACACACACTTGCATACATCTTCAATTGTGTCGAATTGTAGATATAGACTATAGCTCTAGAACAAAGGCTCATGCGTCAGTGGCTACTGCCTAATTACCTAGTCGCATCTCTCACCTAGCCATAGTGCAATGTTGTCTTAACAAGACCTTTTTAGTCAGAGCCTGGCTCTCAGAGCCTTAGCCTCATTGGCCCAGTTCGTAAGTCTATTATTTAAAACGGCAGTAAAAACTTTCCTCAGGACACTCATTAATAAGCTCCCGCTATAGTTGTCAGGTCTCTCGGATTGCCTTTCTTATGTAAAGGGACTATTTCTTAACAAGACCAACTGCTGGGAAATATTTGATTGTCAAAGAGTTTGTTGAACATTTATGGAGAAATGGCATTATATCAAAATGGGAGCATTTAAGCATCTCTATCAGCACTTGATCGGGCCCGGCAGATTTCCCGTTCTTTAAGTTTTTTATTGATGATGTAATTTCATGTTCAGTTATAGTAGAATTTAGAATGAATGCATCAATATCTGTGAGGAGAAAAACATTGATATTTACAAAAACATTTTTAAAATGGTAAAGCCATTCTGTTCTCATTATAAGATTCGTCTGTTTGGATTTGTTTTGTAATGATCATATCTGTTTCCAAAAGCTAGATTGACTATTTATGCTTCTATGCAATCTTTTTTCGAATTTCTTACATGAAATGGATTTATACAAAATTTATAATGATTTTCTTTGTCTACAATACGCTATTCTGTTAACGACAGTACGTTGTGTTCTACATGTCATACATGCTATTATTATTCTATTTCTCAGGTATCATCGCGAGTCTTCAGGAAGAAAATATTCGACTGAGGAAGGTGACTATTGATGACTAATACAATGTTGAGTTGTAGTGTGGTGAAATACTGTTTGATGTTGCTTTGAAGATCATGCCAATTAGATAGGGACGTGCTCACACGGTGTTTGTGGATGCTTGTACTAGCAGGCTTACAGCATCCTTTTAAACGTGTTTTGGTAAAACCAGAAACCTGCCATTCTCCAGCGTGATGCTCCTATCGACCAGACCATGGAGAAATCATTGAATGTTAAACAACATAAAGGGCGTACATACATGTAAATCTGATTACGTTATAATGAAAACAAACAATGACCTATTAATCTCCAATCAATCCATCTTTCTTTATGCAAGATTCTAATATATATACAAGGGTCTGCCCCAACAAAAAGGAGACACGTATAAAAATATGATAAATTGTTATGTACCACTTGCAACTAAACGCTGCACATTCTTAGTAAGATATTACCAGACGTTCTTACCTGATCACAGTTAACACAAAACTGCTCACAAATATATGGAATAGGTGGCAGAAAGGAACAAGACATAACTTGCGAAGGATTCGACGCTGTGGCTTAAGTAGGGAAATGTTCAGTCATTTCTACATGGCTTTCAGACCCAAAACAGGTGAGCAAGACAAGACATGAGGTTTTGGAATATTAGGCAGAGTCTCAAAACATTTGAAATCCCTGTTACAGTGTTACATACTTGACATAATCACAATTGCGATATTCAACTATTTCAACGAGTCTCGTGATGATGCAATGCTCGCTCGAAAGGCTGATGAGACAAAACACAAATAAGTGATCTTTGATTCAGATCGGCAGAAACTGTATTCGTTTATACACTTGTACACTCAGACACCACATGGTCACTGCTAATAGGAGTCCAGCTTGACATCAGACTTCAACTTTCTGGCAAGGTTTTGAAAACATGGGATAAACCTACATATTCTGTGAACACCGATTCTGGCTACTGGCCTCCGTTATGCGTACGCCAGAGAAACAGAGAACTGACGCAAAGTCACAGAGATGATAAGGAATCATTTGGCGGTTTGATAATGAAGCAACCTAATTTTCTTGTTCTTTCTAATTTTCTGTCCATCTACATCTTACGTTACCTACTCAGCTAAGCTTCATCGCGATTGCTATCGATTATGATAAAGTCGAAGAGACAGTTTCTGAGACAATGGTTCAACACGGTACACACAAACAAGCTGAGTTGGGAAAAACACACAAAGCTACCTTCATGTGTACTCATTATCAAGTGTTGTGGTTTGGTCCAGGATTACAGGATCCCCGTATTCGTGCTACTGCCGCCACGATCCTCGCTCACTTTGCGAGGGAGACGAGATTCTTCCTGCTGGTCCAGCCACGCCAAGTAGTGCAGTGGTTTAAGGTGAAATTAGATACTTGGCGGACTAGAAAGCATGAAACTTTGCAAAGTGCTGGGGAATATCATAATAAATACATAGTTTTGGGGTGCCCGATTTTGGGCCTTTTCCGAAAAATCCAAGATGGCTGACGAAAATCAAGGATTTGCAATTGTATCACTACGTGACTTTTCCCCACCGGATTAAAGCAGAAAACATTGCACAGCACTAGGGAACATAATGTTAAAACATATTTTGGGGTGTTTCCGATTTTTTTGTGCCCATTTTCCGAATAATCCAAGATGGCGTTCAAGATGGCTGCCCAAACTTCAAGGATTTCAATTCTTACACTACGTGGCTTTACCCCGCTGGATTAAAGCAGAACACCGCGCACAGTGCTAGGGAACATCATGATTAAACATATTTGTGGATATGTGCCCGTTTTGGGCCTATTTACCGAAACATCCAAGACGGTCACCCAAAATCAAAGAGTGCTGAAGTCCACCCAGAATGGTTGCCGACTATAAAAAAATCTTCATTTTGTTCATAATGGAGATATATTCGCCACCCTTCAAATGGCCTTTGTAATACTTTCAAGAAATCTTACAAACAAGATATATTTTTAGTAGTAAAGATATCATTCATCATCCATTAATGAAAAATACTGTTTTGATCAGTCACGTAAGGACATCATTCTGTCAAAGATCTCTGTGATTCTGAGTCTTCCTTAACAGAAGGTCCCATTGCAGTTACAAGGCGATGTCCTTAGAAGTTGAGAAGATATACAGATGCACATCTTTTGAGCATTGAGGATTGAGACTCAAGCAGCCACATTTGATACATGTTCTTAACAACTCCGTAAAGCTTCTGGCAGTGGCATCCACTCTGTCGATATGTGTACAACAGTCATCCCTTGTCACACCAAACAAATCTTGCTCTGGTGGTTTCTGTCTGGGAAGTAAGCCATATGCTGATCTGGTACAAGCTCCTGTTTGTGTGCTGTAGCAGAGCATCCTGAGTGGGAAGAAGATTCTGGTTCCATTTGATCTTGCAGCCATGGCAGAACATTTCTTGTCACAGTTCGTTGACTATGTTCACTGATGTAGTGCTGTCAGACATGATGCATGTGAATAGTTCAAGTGATGAAAACACTTCTGAGACTTTGTCCACAAGTTGGAATGGATGCTTTGCAGGAAAAGGAAATCTGTGAGCCACATCCACATGTGGATATCCAAGTCTTCCAAGCAGTTTTTTGCCTTTTCCACTGAACTTTGTGATGTTGTGTCAGAACCAGTGAATGCGTGGAAAAAGGAAGCGCCACTTTCATCTTCCGACATCCCAGATCTTGAAATATTCTGTTGATGTTTACTTTTTTTGCAGAAGTATCTTTGACATGAAGGCAGAGTCTGGTATCCGGATTTTCTTGATTTTGTTCGCGTTTCTCATTATGTTCCTTCAAAGAAAACCTTCTTTGTAGATGTTTCCAAACAATGTCGCTACGATGGCAGTCTCCTCCAGTTGTTCTTCCTCCATGCGTAAGAAGAGAAGACTCCGAAAATTACCAAACGTTTAGGAATAACCTCTATGCAGTGCATCAACAACGGCGGCGCCATCAAACACTTTAGCATCAATGTCAGGAGTCATACTCAGGTGATGCAAGACAATAAAAGAGCTCTGATTTGCTGTTTGGTAAATGAAGTTTTCCATGAATTGATATGGATGTTTGCCACGGGTGGTTTTCATGAGAAAAGAATTGATTTAAATCATATCGACGTCCTGACATTCAATGAACATCTGACTGAAGAGACTGTAGTCATATTTCAGGTCATTTGTTTGCTGCTTGAGATTAGACTGAGGTTTTGTTTGTGATCTCTTGAACAAAAGGGAGGTGATTCTTCTTGATGGGACTGTGAATTGATTCTGTAATTTCCACAGGAACATCCTTTACAAACTTCTCACATGTCTTTTCCACTGTGTTCTTCACTGATTCCATAGATGCTACGACAGCTCCACCAACACAGTGATGCTCATCAAGGGTTATCAGTTCAGGAAATTCCTTCCAGGAAGGATTTTCTATGGAAGCAACTGTGCCACATAAGTTAGCTGTTGACATTAGTCTTAAATGTCTGCTGTGTAGCAAAGCCTTGTTCAATGATTCCTGTGAAATCATTTGATTGTTCAGCGTTCTATACCACTGTCCCACATGGCAAACTTGAGGGGAAAACTTCATTCCTTGATTAATGGGGCATATGTAAACAAATGTGTGGTGGACAAGGAGGCCTACATATCTATCTTCAGAGGTTCAGGACAATTTGTCAAAATGAAAGCATATGCCAATAGTAGTTGACCGAGAAAACAGTATGTGAAATGCTGGGTTCTCTCATTGATAACATCTTTGTAAAATCTAGGGGTAAACATTTTGACATGAAGTAGAGGCATCCCCATGGGCACAATTGCGCAACAGTCCTGGCGGATCTGTTTCATTTGGCATATGAATCAAAATTTCTGCATATGCTGGCAAAATCAAAACAAGGTCATTTACGCTTAGGTACATAATTGATTTAATATTGTTCAATAATCATCAACTAGCCACTTGCCTTCCACTGATTTACCCGTCTGAACTTCCCCGACTGATTCGTATTTAGTTCCATGCAGAAAGCTTCAGTGGGAGAAAAACTCTTCAAAAGGCTGTGTGACAAAGGGATGATTTCAACTCCCAATAGTCTGCTATATCGAGCAATATCCCAACAGCTCTGGCCTGTGGTGTTCTTCTTTTATGAATACTTTTCACCAAGATTTCAAAAGAGCGTCATACCACTCTTGAACTTGAAGTTGTTCGATCAACGTTACAACACCCAAGGCCTCTGTAAAGATTTCAAAATGTTTTATGGTAGACATGTGGAGGACATTTCGAAATTTGATGCATCAGTGACAAAAATGATGTCCGGTGCAATTTCACATTTGGACTTATTTATATTGACTTTGACCCGAATTATTTTTCCAGGTGAACAATTGACTAAAAGTTTGTATTTGTGTATGACGGGTGCTACCGGTGGGGCAGAATACGCTCACCTTTTGCGAACACCTGGTATCACCACTATTTCGTAGTGATTCATAAACACATGCTCTGTCATTGTATCGCATGATCACAATCACTATATTGCTTGGACTCCATTTGTTTACAAACAACATCGTACAGCTGTACTACTGCTGAAATAAATATTCATGATATAGTCATTGTACTGTCGACTCTGCTTTTAACACAGATTTCTTGTGGATGTGAAAATGGGTTCTGTCAGCTTCTTTTTGCTCCATCAGTCATTTGATCAGGTTTTCGTAGGTCATACTATGCAAACGTTGTGAGACATGGTTCTGTGATTTTCCTTTGCAATTAAATATATCACCTATAGTTAATGTGTTTATGGTGGCGTTCTTTTTCAACGAGTTGTAGCTGAATTAAATCAATATCATGAATTGGAACTGTCTCACTGTATTTCTTATACATCATTCTGGTTACATTAGGTTTAGTGCCTACGTAAAGATAAACGAAAATGTAGCCATGACATAAGATAAATTCATTGTAGCCTCATCACTCTGGGTAAACGGTTGTCTGGCGTACCCTCTGTAGCAATGCATGTACATGGCTTAAGCTGCGGCAACACAGAGGGTACATCACACCGTATACCATTCTTGATCTGGCTACAGCGTGCATACTATTTACTCCTTATTTTGCTCTATTAACACCCACCAGAGAATAGAGGAGCTGGAGGCCTTCGACTGGATATCTGTTGCTACTGAGGGACAGCGGGTTTGATAGTGAGGGAAGCAGTCTGGCATCCTCAAACAGGGAGTTCAGTTATTCGGAGAAATCAGAAGCCTGAAGTTCACCGTGGTGTCAAGATAAAAGAAGGTTTTAAGAGATTCTTCCCGTTTGGACGGCAAAACATAGAGGGTAAGCGGTTGTGTAGAGGTTAGTTAACTGCTCTATGTGAAGCTGGATATATAATATAAATAGTATGCTGCTCTTTTAGGGTAATACGGTCTGATGTATGCCTCACAACGTACACAAGGTATTTATCCTACCGCCATGTTAAATGTACAAAATATATATATTTTTGGAAGATTTTGAAAATCGATAACATTGCTTGCGACTATATCACATGTAAACAAAGAATGGCGTCTGCCTCTAGACTGGATTTGTAAGGTCATTGAAACATATTGTGATAGGTTTAAAACTGTTAATTATGTTTAAGTTGAGTGTGCAAAGGATTAAATGTAATAAAATAGCTTAAATAATGCAGTGAAATTCGGTAAATGAAATATGTACATAGTGAACTCAAAACAACAACTTATGGAACGGTTTTCGAACTCCGGGCACTGCATGTGTCATATTATGACGTCATAGCGATACAGTTTCTCGACGGAGAGTTTGGCGGTTACCATGGTAGCAGGTAATATTTTCCTAATGTCACTCTCCTGGGAGGGACACGGAAACTCTGTTAAAGGGTCACTGACCAATGAAATTAAAGTATTTTACATTAAGGTAAGATAATGGTTGGCAAATCCCAGACAGGTTCCAAACATTGCAGTCACCTGGGAAATAGAACCAGAGAACGCAGCGTGACAGAACAAGTTTTAATAACCAGTCTACTTGCCCACAGAAACGACCATCAATGGACAAATACAATGTGATATGCCATTACTATGCCGCTATACACATGGGTATGCCATACGTAATATACTCGTGTTCTGGGGTGACATCACAGTATGTCAGTCAGATCCTACTGTATAAGCAGAGAGCAGTCGTGTGCATTTGCAACAGCTTTGAAACACAAGAGAGATACAGGGGAAAAGGCATATGGACCATGACATTGTATTTCAAATGAGGAAAAACATGAGAGATCCATTTAAGAGGCATTAATTTTGTTTATTATCATTTTGAATATTACCATTGTATGAACGGAGAGCACATGTGCGCAAAGGGTGACTGAGATGCTTGCACCTTATAAGGAGCTTTTCTATTTCATCTTTGCTTTGCAGAAAGAAGTTGCCCGTCCTATTGCACTACTGCGTGTAGGGAAACAGTAGGGATGAGAGTAGAATCCACAGAGGCTGCACGGAGTTTGCCTACACCAGGTATAACATTTTAAAAAAGCCGTTAATACATGATAACTTTTTCATTCTTTATCACAAGTCAAGACAGAGCTATTTTGTCCTCCATCAGGTGAATGCTGTGTAAAGTGTGTCGAGATTTATGTTTACACAACTCAGGCGAAAGAGAATGTACAAGGTAACAATAGTATGATAAAGTCAATGGGAGGATTAATGTACAAAAATACTGTACATTCGCGAAGCCAGTGAGATAGGATTAATAATACAAGGATAACTATGTAATAACGAAGACAATAAGATTAACATGAATGGGGTTCAGTTGAGCAATAGTCCAATCAATAAGCTCAGTGGTAGATGTTATGAACACAGTGGAGTACATACTGGGAAGGTAGATGAAATGATCACAGTGGAGTACATACTGGGAAGGTAGATGAAATATGATCACAGTGGAGTACATACTGGGAAGGTAGATGATATGAACACAGTGGAGTACACACTGGGATGGTAGATGCCTCTGCCTAATTGCTGGCTTCTTTCTTTTTGATTTCGATTCTTTCTTGATGTTTTTCTCTTTTCCCCTAAAGCCTAGTGGTGAAAGCGTTCGCTCGTTACGCCAACGACCCGAAGTTCGATTCCCAATATAGGTACAAAGCGTGACGCCCTTTGTGGTGTCCCCAGCATGATTTTGTTGGAATATTGCTAAAGGCGGCATAAAACTAAATTCACTTACTCCAATGATTGATTACTGGTGTTGACAATTCTGGTTTGTTGACAGGAAACATAGTTGTCAGGATTCTTTTATGAAATGTTCTGAATGGGCAGATTGACCAACAGAGGTCTTGTGTTCCTGTATTATGTTGGCTGTGGATCACATGTATTTGTCTCCACAATTGTCTTAGGGTGAACTATGTGGATACAAAGATACTGGAATCGCTGATGTGGGATTTCCCAATAGTGCTTGTAGTCTGACAAGGTGCTGGGCTGTGTTTCAGAAACCTAAGCCCCTGGGAAATACCACCTGTATTCTGACTTTGGCTGGATCTTTATGGAGTTTGACAGTGGCTCTGGCATAGGGGTGGAAGTGGGCGTATGGGTATGGGTTGGGTTGGGATGGGAGTTATTGAGTTTATGGGGTTCAGGTATTTGATTGCAGTGTCGTCTATTGCTCTATCAATGTGGGCTTCTAGAGAGTCTTCTTGTGCTGTCTTAATTTAGGGGTCTTTTTTAGATATACCAAAATCTGGTGGAGAAAAACAAAAGACAACCCTTTGCTATAAAGCAAAAGGGCCCCGTTCCCAAACTTTAACCAGCCCCATCACCCACCTTCGTCAGCATCCCATATCCCACTACCAGTCGCCTGATCCACTGTCTATTTACGAAAAAGGCAACACACATTGCAGAAAAATACTGAAACACATGCCAACTGTAAAGGTTGATGAGGGAAGTTAATCTTCAGGACAATGGACACATGTAGAGCAGATGACCAGCAGATCAGATCCGGCCAGACAAAATCTTCACCCCAGACTCGTTTTCAGCGGCTCTATCATATAACCTGCTGTACCAATCAGTTTGGCACTTAAACTTAAACTGTTCAAAATCTCAGAAAATATGATGAAACAGGATGTTGTGTATCGATAACATTTTCCAAAATCATTGAACTAAATGTGGTCATCAAATTTTAAACAGGGATTCACAAGTCTCTCTCATCTGACAATTCAGCTGGGCATAAAAGTAAAACGGCAGTAACAAGTATACACTGGATGACTGAAAACCAGTGATGATACCAGGTTTTTATGTCAAAGAGCAGGCATGTCCGAGATCTAGGGAGACACTGGGAGATCCGTTATTTTTATTTGATTGTATCTAGACGTTGATGAGGTGAATGTGTGAAACAGTAGTATGGTTATGTGGTAAATTCATCTTGGGTGTGACGGGATATATTGTTGATTCGTATGTGTAATCTGAGAACATTCTGGACAGTGAGATTACAACTGCTTCGTGATAGTATTACGTGATGTATTAGTATGACAATGCAATGTGTGTCAGTAGAGAGTAGACAGTATGGAAGGAATGTTGGAGCTTATGAGTAATTTGAAAACATAATAATTATACCCGACTTATAAAGCGAATAGCTCCACACGTAATGTGTGCTCGAGAGACACAAATAAGTTCTTCAGTTTAGTCAATGAAGTTGGAATAGTGTCTATAATCATTTCCATTCAGTTCCATCGTCAAAGAAGGTCTTCACTTGTAACACATACACAGGATGGGAATGGGTTCAGCTGAATTAAATTAATGTAAATGAGTATTTGTTAAGGTATTTACTGTTCCTTCCAGTGACATTGAAATCATTGTGTTATAGTGACACAGACGGGTCCACGAGTGGATACAGACATCCATACTGCCTGCAAGAAGGGTGACCTGGACCGGCTTAGACGCATCCTATCTAAGGATCTGGAAGACGTCAACCGTAGAGGGAAGGACGGACTAACACCTGCAATGATAGCAGCACGATTCGGACACAGAAGAATGGTAGACATACTTGTGAGTAAAGGTTCTGAATTGCATCTCCTTGCCGATAACACAAACAACATCCTTCATGAGGCCTGTATTGGAGGACATGTTGACATGGTGAAGTATGTCCTCTCTCAGAAGGTTGCAGACATCAATATTAGGGGCCAGTACGGGAGGACACCCGTGATGCTGGCAGCAGAAATGGGGCACAGAGCGGTGTTTGACTTACTTGTGAGAGAAGGAGCTGATGTATCATTAGTGGATGATAACAAAAACAACATCCTTCATGTGGCCTGTATTGGAGGACATGTTGACATGGTGAAGAATGTCCTCTCACAGAAGGTTGCAGACATCAACAGTAGGGGCCAGTACGGGAGGACACCCGTGATGCTGGCAGCAGAGAAGGGATATAGAGCGGTATTTGACTTACTTGTGAGAAAAGGAGCTGATGTATCATTAGTGGATGATAACAAAAACAACATCCTTCATGTGGCCTGTTTTGGAGGACATGTTGACATGGTGAAGTATGTCCTCTCACAGAAGGTTGCAGACATCAACAGTAGTGGTCAGTACGGGAGGACACCCATGATGATGGCTGCAAGGAAGGGACACAGAGAAGTGTTTGACGTACTTGTGAGAGAAGGAGCTGATGTATCATTAGTGGATGATTACAGAGACAACATCCTTCATGTGGCCTGTATTGGAGGACATGTTGACATGGTGAAGTATGTCCTCTCACAGAAGGTTGCAGACATCAACAGTAGGGGTCAGTACGGGAGGACACCCGTGATGATGGCAGCAGTGAAGGGGCACAGAGAAGTGTTTGACTTACTTGTGAGAGAAGGAGCTGATGTATCATTAGTGGATGATGACGGAAACAACATTCTTCATGTGACCTGTATTGAAGGACATGTTGACATGGTGAAGTATGTCCTCTCTCACAGAAGGTTGCAGACATCAACAGTAGGGGTCAGTACGGGGAGGACACCCGTGATGATGGCAGCAGTAAAGGGCACAGAAAAGTATTTGACTTACTTGTGAGAGAAGGAGCTGATGTATCATTAGTGAATGATAACGGAATCAACATCCTTCATGTGGCCTGTATTGGAGGACATGTTGACATGGTGAAGTATGTCCTCTCACAGAAGGTTGCAGACATCAACAGTAAGGGGCAGTTCGGGTGCACATCCGTGATGATGGCAGCAGTGAAGGGGCACAGAGAAGTGTTTGACTTACTTGTGAGAGAAGGAGCTGATGTATCATTAGTGGATGATAACAGAAACAACATCCTTCATGTGGCCAGTATTGGAGGACATGTTGACATGGTGAAGTATGTCCTCTCACAGAAGGTTGCAGACATCAACAGTAGGGGTCAGGACGGGAGGACACCCGTGATGATGGCAGCAAAGATGGGACACAGAGAAGTGTTTGACTTACTTGTGAGAGAAGGAGCTGATGTATCATTAGTGGATGATTACAGAAACAACATCCTTCATGTGGCCTGTATTGGAGGACATGTTGACATGGTGGAACGTGTTCGCAGACTTATTTTAGTTGATTTCAACGCGAAAAATGTGCATGGCCATACAGCTGAAGACCTCCTTTCTTCAAGACATTACAGCAGTGAGGCCTTATACAGAATAAATAGAGACATTGCTGGTCTTCAGTATTGTAGTTTCACTGACATTTTCAAAAGAAGGAGTTGATGTAACATTAGTAGATGATAACGGAGACAACATGCTTCATGTGGCCTGTATTGGAAGACATGAAGACATTCTTGAAGTATGTCCTCTCACAGATGATGGCAGACATTAACAGTAGGGGTCAGTACGGGAAGACACCCGTGATGAAGACAGCAGAGATGGGACAGAGAGAAGTGTTTGACTTGTGAGAGAAGGAGCTGATGTATCATTAGTGGATGATAGCAGTCCGTAAAAGACACAAATATACAAGGCTATACAGCTAAAGACCTCCTTTCTTTAAGACAATGCAGCCTAACAGAAATCACATAGCCACATTGCCGGTCGTAAATATTTTCGTTTCTCTGACATATTTCAGGTGCAAATCTTATTTTCAAATTGTCTTTACAAAGAAGGTTATTTTCAATGTGATGACTCTTTATTTACAATGTTTTGATCACATTGGTAATTCTGCAGTCAAATTTGTATAATAATGTTTCACTACATGGTGTTTTAACATCTCAGAGCGAATAGCTCATGCATCTCACTTCTTGTGTTTTGCACGTGTCGCGAAGAAGGAAAGGTCCTAATCAGATTTTTCCCGTCGCCATGCATGCTGACTTGACCTCCACATGTATGCTTGTAATCAGATCTCAGGTCGCAGAACAGTGTGTTTGAATGTGGTGCTTATCACCCGAGTTAGTAATGGTCGGAAAAACTGTGACACACAACAAAAACCTGTAATTTTATAATCAATTTCAAAGACAGACAACTTCACGTGTGTCATTTCAATTTTCCTTTGCTGTATTGTCAAGCGTTTTACACATTAGTATCAATCTATAGTGATAGTCGAACACTGTGAGAAACACCGTGAGTACAAGTTACATGTCGAAAGATTAGGTCTAAGTTTAACGTTTGAGGATTACCTGCTACGAAGTGAGCAATTCTTTAAATAGTTTTATAATGGCACATAGAAACCTCTTGATATGCTTAGCTTAGACTCGTTCAAAGGGTTCACTACGTTCAAGATAAATATTCTATTAGTTACACTGGTGTTCAAAGAGTGAACCCATTTCAGTCCAGTAGATTTATTGTGTTTTCATTTGGTTTTGGTCGCGATAACGGTAACAAACAAGCTAATTTAAAAGGTGTTACAATGATCTGAGTTTTTCTAAATGTTTAAACGTCAGTGTTATCTGTTGTGAAGCCATCAACAGCATCATTTGACCTTATGTAAACATCCAGTAGCCACATGAGCATAACCTTCCTACTTCAGATTTCTGTACATCACTTGCTTGTTAACGGTATGAGTGTCTACACCGAAACATCGCATTCATTGTAATAAAACGGTTGTATGTGCATAGAACTACTTGTCTTGTCCTGTTTGAGGAAGTCAGTCAGACCAACCTTACAATGTAAGTGGAAAGCAGAGAATTGATCTCAATAACCACAGTCCTACTTGGTGAAGTCAGAGTTTACCGTCTACAATATGTGCGAGTCAATTCAATACACTCTAAACACGTATCTTAAACACAGGTGCTCCGCAAGGATATGTGTTTTCCCCTATACTGTTTACTTTATATACTAATGACTGCAGAAGTGATGTGAAACATCTGTGAAATTTGCTGATGATGTCCCATTAGCTGGATTAGGAAGTAGCAACGATGATTCACATTACTACCAAGCAATGGGACAGTTCTGTATATGGTGTCATGAGAACTTCCTAGGTCTTAATACGAAGAAAAGAAAGGAAATTACTATAGACTTTTGAATGAAGAAACCTACGTATAGACCTGTTCTGATTGATAATTGCAGCATCGAAGTTGTCCCAGAGTACAAATATTTCGGCACCATCATTGATGAAAGCTCAGTTATACTGCGAACACCGACAGAATATAAAACAAATGTCAACAATGTACTTTTTTACGGAAACTCAACTCGTTCATGTCACTCTTGTTTTATGGTACAAAACGTTTATTCAAGGCATTCTTTGTTTTAACATACAAAGCTGGTTTGGGTAAAATTCACTACAAAATGAAAACAAACTGTGCAAAATAATCAAATAAGCCTGAAAAGTATCAGGAGTGTCTTTGGAAAAAAATTCTTTTAGCCAAGCGGCATGTTAAAAAACTAGCTTGCAAAATTGCACCAGACTCAGAACATTTTCTTCACAACGAATATAAAATTCAACCTTCCGGACGCCGCTTCCAAACACTCCTTTTCAGAACTAACGGGACATCAAAATCATTTATTCCAACCGGCATTGCGACATTAACGTTTTATAGGTTTCATTCTGATACGTCAACCTCAAATTTTACGCCCCGATGATTTATTATCTTCTGTGTTTTAAATTAGTAGCTTAGTATTTTTAATTAGTAGCTTCTGCATCAATAATTTACCTCAATTTATTATTTATTCACTTTTCTTTTATATCCTGTTTCAGTGCTAATTTGCATTCTATAATGTTTCAGTTATAAATCACTTACCATAATATTCTTTTACCCAACTGTGCATTTTTTATACCAGTTATCATTGCTTGGATGTGGTTGAATGTATTACTTGTTATGTGTGTCATGTCATAGTGCCCTTGTGTAAATACTGTTGTCATCTTGCTCTCACTGAACTAAAACAGTTCCACACTTCTTTAGTTTACCAACAGGCACATCATTAACGGCAAACAGTGTATGATACTCAGAGGAGTGAAAAACTGTTCGAATGGAGACAGCAAGGGTGTATTATAATGGATTCAGAACTGTCACTGTTGTTTACTACTGAAATGTTTCTTCTAGATCACTGCTCAATTGTTAGTGCTCAAATCAAACATAATCATACCATCGGGAAGCATCGTACAGATTACACACCACCAAATGTTTTCGCATAGACTTCTATAGTAACCTTATAATTTGTTTTAAAATAGACAAGCTATCAACAGCCATTTCCATGTACGCATGGGTACACTCTGGCCTTTAAACTACAATAAAACACAATATCAGGCAGACTTTTCCGGCCTGTTTTGCGAGGACAGGAAGCGGAACACATCAACCCCAGTTCCGCCCCAAATGTCACCTAATGGAAAATATCTGTTCACACAATAAGCATAAGTCATGGTGATGAAAATGACAGCACTGAATACTTAAAATTGTGGTCAGTTTTAATTACTGGTTGGATATGCTTTAAAAAACAAACATCTTACACTATTTCATCCAATCACAGCTGTCACATGTCTCTGTCTCTCTTGACTTGACGGACCGGCTCAGCGAGCAAGCGATACTGATTCAGTGTAGTGTAACCTAGAGTGGACTGGTATGCAGTGAGAGAGGAAGCGTCATAGTGTGGACTGAAACATACAGTGAGAGAGGAAGCACCATAGTGGGGTCTGGTATACAGTGAGAGAGGAAGCACCACAGTGGGGTCTGGTATACACAGTGAGAGAGGAAGTGTCATAGTGTGGACTGGTATATACAGTGAGAGAGGACTGACTGACTAAGTTTGGTTTTACGCCGCTTTTAGCAATATTCCAGCAACATCAAGGCGGGGGACACCAGCAATGGGCTTCACACATTTTACCCAGGTGGGGAATCGAAACCGGGTCTTCGGCGTGACGAGCCAACGCTTTTACCACTAGGCTACCCCACCGCCCCCAGTGAGAGAGGAAGCATCACAGTGTGGACTGGTATATACAGTGAGGAAGGAAGCATCATATTGTGGACTGGTATATACAGTGAGGGAGGAAGCATCACAGTGTGGACTGGTATATACAGTGAGGGAGGAAGCATCATAGTGTGGACTGGTATATACAGTGAGGGAGGAAGCATCATAGTGGGGTCTGGTATACACAGTGAGAGAGGAAGCATCATGGTGTAGACTGGTATATACAGTGAGGGTGGAAGCATCATAGTGTGGACTGGTATATACAGTGAGGAAGGAAGCATTATATTGTGGACTGGTATATACAGTGAGGGAGGAAGCATCATAGTGTGGACTGGTATATACAGTGAGGGAGGAAGCATCACAGTGTGGACTGGTATATACAGTGAGGGAGGAAGCATCATAGTGTGGACTGGTATATACAGTGAGGGAGGAAGCATCATAGTGGGGTCTGGTATACACAGTGAGAGAGGAAGCATCATGGTGTAGACTGGTATATACAGTGAGGGTGGAAGCATCATAGTGTGGTCTGGTATATACAGTGAGAGAGGAAGCACCATAGCGTGGTCTGGTATATACAGTGAGAGAGGAAGCATCATAGTGTGGACTGGTATATACAGTGAGAGAGGAAGCATCATAGTGTGGTCTGGTATATACAGTGAGGGTGGAAGCATCATAGTGTGGTCTGGTATATACAGTGAGAGAGGAAGCATC